TCTCAAATAAACACATAAAATCTTTTAAAAAAAAAAGTTAAAGTTTTTGTTTATCTTGTTCATCATTTATACTTCTAGGATCTAGCATAGTGCCTGGCATGATATACTTTTTTTTTTCTTTCAGAAATGAACATTTATTGATATAGAAAATCTGATTTTTGTGGGCTCTCAGAATTCTAGATGAGCAATCTGTGCAAGTGTCCAGAGATCTGGCTCTCCCTGAACTCATGTAAGGCGGTCGCTTCTCACCCTCCTTATCTAAAACCAATTTGAGCATTTTTCCCCCTTCCCCTTCCTCATATCCCCATTTTTGTACTGATATGATTTTTTCTTAGAAGCGTTGTTGAAAACCTCATAGCCACATTTGGCCTCTCTCTCACTGCACAGTGCAACAAATCAATAAAAACTTTTTAGGAAATTTTCTTTATAAATGTTTCCTACATTCAAAAGTTATTTTCTTTAGACTCTCTCCCACTTAATATTTACTTGTTGGTTGACCTGTTTTTACCCCTTTTATTTTTATCCTGGCATTTCCTGCTCAAAAACTATGAGTACCTCCCTACAATCTATAAGAAAAATGCACTCTGCCCTGCACATGGGGTTTTCCATAGTCTGTCTCCAATGTACATTCCCAGTTTAGCTCCATTGGTCCCAAACAGAATCCTTTCTCACTGTCTGTGCCTGCTCCTTCCTACAGGTGGGAGCTCAGGCTGGAGCCCCTGCCCTTCTGCTCCAGCTGCCCCTGTTTACTCCAAGCCTCCCTGTAAGGGTTAAGCCTTGGGCAGACAGGTCTCAATTCACCTTCCCAGCTCTGCTCACTTGACCTTTAACCTTATCCCTTCTAATGTGAGTTATATTTTCAAGTTCTCCAGGCCCTCTTGTGCAATCAGATTTTTATGGGGTTTGACTTCTTTTGTTTTATAGCTTTATTTTGCAACTTGGATGATGGTTGCCATAAAATGCAAGATAAAATTTTAGAAAAGAAAGTATTGCTAATACTATGTCAGTGGCAAACCACAGAAGTATACCACCCCTTGATTTGCATTCTGTCACATCCGTTGCAAACTAAGAGTGAAGGTAGCTTCCAATTTTGTGTCCCAGGCTGTCCTCCTTTGGAACTAGGGAGGACAGCTTTGTGAACCTCCAGGACAGCCCCCCTCACGGTCTACAGGGCTGTCCTTCACTGGCTTGGAATCTTCCCAGGGAAACTCCTTTGGGTAAAGTTACCTCTGTGGGATGACCCTTGTGCTATAGAATGTATGTTTATCCATGGGGTGATGGCTCTGCCCCTTTGTCATCTTCTGCTCACAGAGCCACTGATCTCAGGTCCAGTGGTTTTGACTGTCCCCAAACATACTAGCACTCACTGAGAGGTCTGGGAGGTGCCAATATGGCTGCTCCTTTGGCGGAGTGCATGGTGCAACTCATGACCCATTAGAATGAAGTCTCCTTGGAGTCTTCCACCCACTGGCCACTCAGCCACTTCCGCTGTGTGGAGGCACAGGTGGCCTTTCACTGAGGAGCTGCTCCCTCTTCTGTGATGAGGACAGCGTCATCTCCAGGAAGGGACAGTCATCACTACAGCCATGGGGACTGTCTAGTCTCCCTGTTACAATTAGCATCCCTTCGCTCAGGGACTGGCAGTTTGTTCCTGGTGAAAAGCTACCACAACAACGCCCAGTGTACAAACAAACATTGGACAGGATGCCGACTTGGCAAAATATCTAATTTGATTCATGATGAGTGAATACTCTGATTCCCAGAGGTAGGTGAATTGTAAATCACTGTATCCTGGATTTTTGCATTTTATGGGAACTGACAGAGGGATGCTAATTTTTATTTTTGCCAAATAAAGGCATTAATAATAATCTATCTTCTATTCATTCCGTCATGAAAAAGAAAAAAAGTCTCTGATTCCTACTTAGAAAGATTTTTTTTTTTAAAGATTTTATTTATTTATTTGACAGACGGAGATCACAAGTAGGCAGAGAGGCAGGCGGAGAGAGAGGAGGAAGCAGGCTCCCTGCCAAGCAGAGAGCCCTATGCGGGGCTGGATTCCAGGACCCTGAGGTCATGACCTGAGCCGAAGGCAGAGGTTTAACCCCCTAAGCCACCCAGGTGCCCCTAGAAAGATATTTTTAAATTGAGTATATGTGTCTTTGTGATTCTTATATTTCTCAGTTTGCTGAGACTGGGTGAAAACTGGTCCAGGACCTGGTTCTGGGTCACTGGTCCTGAGTTTGGGAACCATTATTCTGTAAAATTTGTTCATTTAACTGAGGTATCCTTGAAGGTCCTCTTTTGGTTCAACAGTTATGGCACCCCTCCTCCCTCCTCCTCCCTCTACCTATATATATCTTTACAATACATTTGAACAATTACTTGTTGTCCTGTAGTGTCCTCTGATGGTTTCGTATATGGCTATCTTGTCTCTTGCAACCAGACTGTAATGCTAGGTAAATGGAAGGTAGTAGTTATTTGAATTTGTTTCTATAATACGCGCTTGTGCTCTGTTTAGAGGACGGCAGGTCATTCACACAATTGTGTGTGTGTGTGTGTGCGTGTGTGTGTGTGTGTGTGTGTTGGGAAGTTGGCTAGAATCCTCAGTTTATATAGTTACCTAAATAAAGGGTGCAAATTCTTGAAAAATTAAGTGAGTTTGTAAAATAAGAAAACAAACCTTTGGAATTAAAAATCTCCCTCTTCTACATTTCCTGATGAGTCTGGAGAGATTAACTACCTATTGAATAGACATAGCCCTGCATCTGAAGCACCTGTAAAGTCTCATCATTTTTGATGATTTAGTAACGACATAGGGGGTAGCAGGTAGTTGAGTCTCTCCCCCAAAAATCAGAATTGTTTTTCATTTTAATATATTTTTTGTTTAAAATATCATAAAACATTCCTTAGACTGACAGTGGAGCTTCAATTTTTATGACTTTCTGATTGCTCTAGCAGTTGAGAAAAAAAAAACTAAAAATGAGCCCTCAAGTAAAATTTAAGTGGCAAAGATTAAAATTCAGAATTATGGGCTTCCCCCCCCCATATGAATGAGCATTCCCTTTTGGCTGGGAATTTTATGTGCCAGCCCTAGTTTTCCTATATTTGACAGTCCTTGAAAAAGTATTTAATTGCCTTCTTGAAAATATATGAACAGTTTTATTTTTTGAAAATATACCCTCTGGAGCAGCACAACTTCCCCTCCAGTTCATACACACTCATTTTGACTACAAACCAAGTGAACACTCCATCCGTCTGGCAAATGAATGATGGGGCACAATTTGGGCCCAGTTGAATGGGTGGAAGTGACAAGAGACAACAGCATTATCTTTGGGGTAGTTTAATATGCTGCGATTTATGTATACAGATGGCTGATTTGTGATATGTGCTCAAAACTGGACCTTTCAGTGAATTCTTGCTGTTTTCCTGAATGCACTTGGACATTCATGTGCGTTTAGTCTTATGACAAAATTAAATCATTTGTCCTTGCCCAAGATGCGGCTCTTTAGTTGCTTTATGATTTTGTGATTTTATTTCAAAGAGCATATTTTTATAGCTACTCAATGAAATACGCTATTAATCTTTTGAAGAGGGCATAATAATATGACTATTTCCCTTCAAGGTGTATGTGAGGTAACTTCATGACTATTAACTCCAGCTGTTATAAAAAAGATTATGGATGTGGCTTAAGGAAGTGGATAGTATTGACAATCTCAGAAAGGGAGTAAGAAAGAATCCTCTTTCCCCAAAAAGACTCACTAGAAATGAAATATTTTTTATACTTCCCTGAAATGTTCAACGTTTAGTAAGAAAACCTGTAGCATTTTCTAGCCTTAATTTTTCCTGATTAATTAATCCTTTCAACAAATATTTGTTGAGTGCTTCCCAAGCCTTGTTCTAGGTGTTGGGAAGGTAGTAGCAAATAAAACAGATAAACCCTCTGCCTTTGTGGGATTGATATTCTAATGAAACCCGATGAACTACTTTATATTTTAAAGAAGCTTGTGAACTTATTGAGCTTTATATAAAAGATTCAAATAGTTATATGGTGCAGCCTTACTAGTAAAAGAACAGAAATAAATAATTCAAGATTAGATTCCTAGGAGAACACTGAGCGAAGGGACGTGGCAAAACCACCTTTCCCCCCAGATTTTGCATCTCTGCAGTGGCAGGTACATACTTTAGTGAATATAACTGACTCAGCTCTAGAGACAATCACATGGAACACACAGAAATTATCAGGATTATTTCAAGAAGGTGTTGTGACTTTCTCCCAAAGATGTATGAAAACATTCTAAAATGCAGAAGAAAAAAGAATCCTTTCATTTAGCCTGTGAAAAAGGTTTTATTCGAAACAGTATCTGAAAAAACATCTTGCAACTGGCCAAATTTGGGATTTTGAGGTTGGGGTAAAATTTTAGGCAGAGCTGGCTCTAGTTGCAAATGAGATGCAAATGAGAAGCCAGAATTTGGACAACAACTTCTCCCAGTCTTGTATATATGACTTTCTCCATCTGACTTTTTATATATCCTGTTACACTCCATGAAGGGGAGAAGGGGGAGTACTGAACATCCGTTCTGAAGACCTGGGCTTAAACCCCTCTTCTATTTATCATTCATTTACGCATAGACAGGACACCTTGGCAAGCCCCAGTTTTTATCCATAAATTAAGGATAAGAATATCAATCTCAGAAGGTATAGGTAAAGATTAAATATAATGTATGAGAAAATGCTTTGAAATAATTATAAACAGTAATTCTTATTACACATTAATAATTAATACTTCCTTAAAGAATGGAAAAACTCTGAGGAACACAGAAACGGTTTAGATACTAAAGCCTGTCAAATGGAGTGACAAGTGGTGGTGTTTTTATTTTGGTCAATTTTTTCTGTCCGACGGTGCCTCTCCATCTGTCACCAATTATACCATGTATGAGGCTGCTTAGTCTGCCTACAGGAAGCCATATTAAGCCCAACTTACTCTGATCCCGTTACTCACTCTTGCCAGGCTGGTCCCGGAAGGGACTTTATAGGGAACGTACTTCCTGTAGATATGACCAACTCTAGAACATGGGACATCAAACATCTCTCCTCCACACATCCAAACCTAAAGAGAGGAAATTTAAAAGTATAACAAAAGAGAACAGTACAATTCAGATTAAAAAAAAAGAATTATTAGTAAGATTCATAAAAAATTTTTAGAATCTCTTGAAGTCTCTATATTAATAATTTCTATTTATCATAAAAGGTTAATCAAGAAAAAAAACCCTCACATTTTTCAAAACCTAGATTCGTAACAGTATAGACCCAAAATACTAGTTAAGTAAAGTCTAATTTCCAGAGACAGCATGTTGGCATTTTTTATTCTAGTATAATTTGTTCACAAATATTGCATTGCAGTGACATTTAATGCTTAGACATCTTCTTATTATTTATATAGCTATTTGTTTTGACAATCTTGTGAAATCATTTGTAGAAGTAGCATTGGAATTTAAGTGTCAATTTAAAAATTTAAAATATAAAAAATGGAATTTTAAAAATAGGTGAATGAGTTAAGGAATGCTGACATATCCATACTTTAGGTGACATCTATATTCTGAAACCTTGACTAGAGCTCACCTTAAAAATCATTGTCGCTTTCTAATTTCTCCTACCCTTAATCGTTTCTTAGGTACAGAAAAAAATTCATTATTGATGTGGACTCATGAAATATTAAACTCAAGGTATGTGTTAAATGTGGTATTTGTATATGGTAACAAAAATTAATTGGTTATTTTTTTATCATGACTTAGACACACACTTAACCATGGTTTTATATAACAGAGTACATAGCTATCAAAGGAAAAATTATGGAAACAAAATCTAGGCATCCTATGCACTAGATTTTTAGCTATTTTCAATTTAAGAAAAAGTTTAAAAAGAGTTAGATACCAAAATGGTTAGTTTATATTTCACTTGACTACACTATGGTGTTTAGATATTTGCTCAAACATTGTTCTGGATGTTTCTATGGAGGTGTTTTTTTCTTTGGATGAAATTAACATGTAAATTGGACTTTGAGTAAAAATTACGTCCTCTGTATTGTGGGTGAGCCCCAACCAATCAGTTGAAGACCTTACTGGAACAAAGACGGACTCCCCCCTAGCAAGAAGTAATTCTGCCAGCCAATTGCTGGTGGACTTGAACTGCAGCTCTTTCCTGGGTCTTCAGTCTGCTGGCCTTCCCTGCAGATTTTGGACTTACCAAGCCTCCTCAATCACGTGAACATGTTCCTTAATACAAATCTCTCTCTCTTAATATGTACATATTCCGCTGGTTGTTTCTCTGGAGAGCCCTGACTAATACAGATATACAGCTTGTTTTAAAGTATAATATTGAAAGACAGAAAGAAAGATATTTCTGCCTTAATTTACATTTGCTTCCAACTTTTTTCAATAAGATGAATGACACCCCAAATGAGACCAGTAAATAAATAGTGATTAGGGTGATAGAAATCCAAGGGGAAGGCAATTTGATTACTAAAACAATATTAGTTGCTCTAAATAAGTTCAGGACTACTCATGGTATTAATTTCAACTTAATGGGAAACTTATTGATCTTTTGAATCAAGACATCAGAAGTCTGTGTAGGTGATTGAAGCTGATGGGGGCAGTGAATGTTCTAAACAATAATACCAACATCTGGAAAGATCTTGAGAGACTGGAGCTGTATGAGATTAAACATAAAAACGGTAAACATAAGGTCTTTGTGTCTAAAAATATTAACTCTTCCAGAACAGGGTGGGGTGGAAAAAGACTATGTAGCATAAAACACACATGACCAGCATAATATAGAGTGTTTGAGGAGTAAAGGTCTGAATCTATCGGTCTGAAGTCTTATGCCAATTCCTGGGTAAATACTTTATATTCCCTTCTAAAAAGAATGACCGAAGTGAGAAAGGGATGCATACTGTGTTTTAGAAGAAGTAACAAAAAGAACTAGAGATATGAAGTCTTGAGAAGATTTAGAGAAACGCTGTTTAAATATTTGAAGATCCTACTATTTGGAAGAGATGTTCTGTAGAACCTCTCCTTGAGGGATTAACAGGATAGAGCTATAAAAAGACAGATTTCAACTCAGTGGAAGAAGAACTTTCTAACAGAATGATTAAAGATAAAATGGGCTTCCTGCATCGCTAGTTGTGCTAAAATCTGTAGTAGATGACACTTTGGAGACAAGTATAAAACTTTGAGGGGATAGCTGACCTAGCTGCTATTTGAAGGTATTTCTACCACTAAGATTTAGCATTTATGAAGGTGTACTATATCCTTTTTCATTTAATGCTCACAATTTAATGACAGACGTTACTATTTCCCCCAATTATGTAGGTTGGGAAGTGATAGTCCAGAGGCTGTGTAACTTGTCCAAAGCCATATAACTGACCACTTGCAGAGGAGATTTGAATCCTAGTAGTCTAACTTCAGTGCCCATATGTTTAATCAATAGACTATCTATAGTCAGCAAGCTTTGTCTATAAATGTCAGAGTAAATACCTTGGGCTTTTCAGGTCATATGGTCTCTCTTGCAAAAGCAACTGTAGCACAGCTAGCTATATTTCAATAAAATAGGGAAAATGGCTACCATTCTGTAAGTTAAAAAGTCCTTTCAAATGCTAAAATTCCATGATTCAAAGATAATATATGTGGGACATTGTATTATTCAAAACTGGACACCATAATATCTCCCATTGCACATACTCCTCCTACAGTGTAACCTTGGTACCTGTCTTGTATTGATTTGATACGATTTCAGATCCACTGTGTATGACTTAAGTGAAGTTGTTTTTTTGCTTTTATACTATGGACATCACCAAACACTTCTTTGTTTTGTTCAGTCTCCCAATAACAACAACCATTTCAGTAGAAGCATGCATATCCCGACATGCTAGGTAGATACATTTAGGTGACAGTGTGACAACATGGTTCTTTAGGAAAGTGCAGCTGTTGTGGCATTTATCAAATTCTTTATCTGTTTTGAAGGATGTGGCTTACATTTTTAAAAGACATTTCCTGGTAGGATCATTTGATAATTTCTTAAAAAATAAACCAAAACTATGGCATTGTCATGCTTAAGAATCTAATTCTCGGAGAAATGTTTTAAATTTACAAATACTGTGTCTTCGTTTGACAACATAAATATTTTAAAGCAATATTATTTTACTCATGAATGAGCACAGAGAATTTTTTTCATAATGTAGTTCAAATTGACTGAATAATTGAATGCTTGCCTTATTATATATTTTTTAAAGATTTTATTTATTTATTTGACAGACAGAGATCACAAGTAGGCAGAGAGCAGGCAGAGAGAGAGGGGTAAGCAGGCTCCCTGCTGAACAGAGAGCCCGATGCGGGGCTGGATCCCAGGACCCTGGGATCATGACCTGAGCCGAAGGCAGAGGCTTTAACCCACTGAGCTACCCAGGCACCCCGTGAATGCTTGCCTTATTTTTTAAAATCACTTTTCAATATTAGCTACAAACTGGAACTTAGACATAGAGAATGTTAAATTAAATGAAATCATACAGTTATACCAGTCATATGGAATATGAAATTAGTTTCAGTAAGAAATTGATTGTCAGAAGATAGTTAAGGGAATATTATTATCAGGTATAAGATGAAATATAGTATACTACATGGAAACAGTGATCTAAATTCTCAAAAGATTTTTATTAGTTTATTTACTCCAAAACCTGCGATCTCTCTGATCTTATTTCCTACTCTTCTTTCCATCCCCCTCTCTGCTCAAGCCATTTTGGCTTCCTTTCTGTTCCTCTAACATGCCAGATACCCTCCCACCTTAGGGCCTTTGTACTGGCTGTTTCCTCTGTCTGAAATTGTCTTCCAGATCTGTGCGTGGATTTCAAGTCTTAGCTCCAAATTCTCTTGCTCCAAACACCCTCCCAGTCTGCGCTCTGAATCCTCCTCACTCTCTGCTCCTTCTCTCCTTGAAGCAGTTATTACCTCCTCACTCAGGAGATACCTCACAGACTTACTATGCTATTACTTGTCTGTCTCTCTCCCCAGCGAGGACAAAGGTCTTTGTGTCTTTTATTGAGTGATGTATCCTAAGCACCTCAGATAATGCCTGACACAGAGTTGGTGCTCTATAAATATTTATCGAATAAATAAACTATTGGTTTATTGATATAAAGTGAGGTTAATTCCAGACAACTGAGTTATTTAATGATAACCTACCATGTAGCTGCCTTAAAAATAAAAGCTCTGATCTCTAGTATAAACAAATACAAATTTCAAGATAATAAGCTAACTTAATTTATTTTTATTTATATGTGGATTATAATAACATAAAGAAATGGTTAATGTTAAAATATAACACATTATCTATAAATAAGTAATTACATTTCTGGGACTAGAAAATAACTTTCTAATTGTATGGTATGCCTTGAAAAACTTCTTAAGTTTTCAAAAATTTGAAAAACTTCTTAAGATTAGATAATTGAAAAAGAAAAGATTAGATAATTAACCACTTTACCATCTATCTAGAAATTAAGGTACCTAAAAAGCTTTGGTGCATAGGTATTGAAAAGAGCTATGTCTATCATCAAACTATTTTTATGGGCCAGATGGGATAAAAATTGCACCTTTGGTTTGACTTAACCTGAGAGACATACACCCATACACACCATTGCTTTGTTTTATTCTTAGAAACTTGGGTGCTGGGGTTGTTCTTTGAGATCAGGAGAAAAAAAGAGCAACTTATTTTGACCTTTTTTGACCCCCATTTTCTATTTGCTGATCAGAATATAATAAAAGCAGAAACTGGAAAATGTATCTACAGTCTTGAATGAGGACATGATAGTTTCTAGTCTCAGGGGAAAAGCTCTTGTTTCTTGTTTCTTGAACCATCTGCTTAGGATTTTTTTCAAAGTAAGAAATGCTCTGTTATGTCAGTATAAAAAAAGATTGTACCCAAACTGTCTTGCACTTAATGAACTTTTAAGTGGCCTGGGAAGGGATAGCAGGGCTTCAGGGGTACTTTGTTCAGATCATTGCTTTGAAGGCGCAGTGTTCATATTTTGCAGTAACAGAGTCTTAAAAACAGTGATTA